CTGAGAGGCTATTTAGCCTCACCCTGGAGATCATCTACCTGCTGACGGGAGAGGTGAGGAGGATTCTGGGAGGTGACATGATATCACTCTTATTTCTGTTAAGAAAACACAGACCTGTAAAGGCGGGATAGGCTTCCTGGAAGTGACAGGTTGGGGTATGGAGTTCACCAGGTTGGGAGGCTATGGAGATGAACAAGGGAGGAGTTGACAAGAGAGCTGGAAGTCGTGAGAGGACAGTTTGGGTGATATTTTGAGATGAGGTTGGTGATGTAGATGGGGGCAAAGTTGTAAATGACTTTGTATGTTGTGGTTAATATTTTCAACGTTATTGGGTATTTGGAAGCCAGTGGAGGTATTGGTAGAGGGGAGCACGGGATGGAAGCCAGTGGAGGGATAGGCAGAGGGGGCACAGGATGGAAGCCAGTGGAGGGATAGGCAGAGGGGAGAATGAAGGGGGGAAAGCCTGTGTAGAGGTCGGCCAATGAGGAGGGAATTGCCCGAGTCAAGACGAGAGATAACAAGGGAGTGGATTAGTAGTTTAGTAATTTCATTGGTTAATAAGGAGCATATTTTGTAGATGTTATGGAGTTGAAGGTGGCAAGATGATTGGCTGTGGGGCTTAAAAATGGAGGCCAGGATTAAACCTGGCATCCAGGAAGTTGTGCTATTGATCTCAATGCAAAAGTTAGGGGAGGGGGCATTGGGGAATATTGTGAGCTCCGTTTTTGAAAGATTGAGTTATAAGTAGTGGTGTGACACCTAATTGTAAATCAGTTCTACGCATGGAGACTCATCTGTTAATACACAGGACTACACAGTAGAAGACAGCATCCAAAAAAAAAAAAGAGTCCCAGATTCTCCTTGTTCAGTCACTACAACAATCTCTTCTTCTCCCCCCTCCTCTGTCAGTAGACAGTAATGGGGGGACGGAATGTGTCTAGTGGGGGAAGAGTGGTGTCAGGTATAGACTTCTTTGATAATGGTAGATAGATAGATATCGATGATTGATTGATTGATGGTGGCAGTGTTTTCCATGCCTCTACCATACTGAAGTGGAAAATCTTCAAACCTTTGTGTACACAACCAAAATTCTTCCTCAACACGTCATCACTGAGGAGGTCTTATTTTTAGGGCGCTAACCGTAAAACACAATATAGGTTGAACTTCTGTTGCATCTCCTTGGGAGCAGAGAGGCCCCTTGAGGTCTGACATTTGCTGCTCTGGACACCTAATGGTAACACAAGCTCTTTGACTCCCGGGCCCAGAGTCATCCTTCCAGCAGTGTAATCCAGTAATCAGAAACAGGAGTTGGTGGGGTATACCTATCAATTTGCTATTGGGCCTCTGTGAAGTTAGAAATAAGGAGACATAGGACACATGTAAAGACGTCCTATGATTTTCTTTTTTCACATTAGACTCTGCTAATAGATCCTTTTTAGAGAATCAGACTTTAGGGTCTAAATACAAGTCCTCTTAAAGGTTCAGATTCTTGCATAAGTTCTCTTGTGACTGGTTCTGCTTATACAAACAATTGGCTTTATTTGGTAGTTTCATCTACGTCTTCCTTTAGAATAATTACAATCATTTGGCTGAAAGGTCCCCCTAAATGTTCTCCACCTTTTGTTTCCTTCAGATGGACAGTATATAACATACAATGCCGGGAAGTGTCCCAGTGTCTCGTCACATGGTGAGATGGAAGATGAGGACGTCACATATGATTCCTCAGACGAAACCCCCATTAGCCCAAATCTCCTTCCAGTACTTCCTAATTCAGATCTGTCATCTGATCCCTCTACATATGGTAGGAGTTACCCCAATCACTCCTATCCCGTCACCCATCATGTGCCTAGCAGACCTGGGGAAATGTTCTTGTGTTCTGGGTGTGGTGAACGTTTTACAGACAGAGAAGATCTCCTCTACCAACAGAGAAGCCACATAGGCGAGAAGCCCTACCCATGTCCGGAGTGTGGGAAGCGTTTCACCCAAAACTTTTTTCTCAGGGAGACATAAAAAAAATCCACCCCGGCGATAAACCGTTCTCGTGTTCCATATGCGGGAAATGCTTCATGCAGAAATCGGATCTTATGAGACACGAGAAACTTCACACAGGGGAAAGGCCATCCCATTACACGCTGCCCGGCTTCCCGATTGGCCGGGAAGCCAGCTCCATGCTCCCTCGTGATGAGGGAGCATGAAGCCAGCTTCCCGGCCAATCGGGAAGCCGGGCAGCGTGTAATGACGTGCTGCCCAGCTTCCTGATTGGTCGTGAAGCTGGCCAATCAGGAAGCCGACTGCCCGTCTATCTGATTGGCCGGGAAGCTGGCTTCATGCTCCCTCATCACGAGGGAGCATGGAGCTGGCTTCCTGGCCAATCAGGAAGCCAGGCGCCGTGTCATTATATGGCACCCGGCTTCCTAATTGGCCAGAAAGAGTTCAGACATCTGCCCCCCATGTCTTCATGTTAAGGGGTCCACCATGGCGGTGAGGGAATAAACCCATTGAGCCATTGTTTGACAGATCACAACCAGGGGAGACCCCCACCAGTTGAATAGGGATTCTAGCGGTTGGTCAGTGTACACCTGGATACAAATTGGTTGGATTGTTTAGGTAGGACATCAGATTGGAGAATTTTGGTAAATCTGAGAATTGTGGTAAATGTTATTAATTGGCGTATTATAATGCTATCCACCCAAGTCACAAAAGAAATAAAATAAGACCAATGTACATTTTCATCATTTTTATTGCCGAGTAGAAACCGTAGAAATAAAAATAGAACTTTCATTGCATAAACAGGAGAACATTTAATGGTCAGAATACAAGGACATAAGTAAAACGTCAGAACTAATACATGTACAGCGCCATATCGCTGGCTATATAATCACTGGGCCACAGAAACGCGTCAGTGTAACGTCCCTGTGGGTCTGGGAAGGCGTTTCGGACCGCCCACACCACGCATGATGGCACTGGAATTCGCTTCTTTTTCCCCCAGAAACCTTGAACCATTCGAGTGTAGGACCGGAAGGCGGCTTTCCGCAGACACCTGGGGAAAAACAAAAAAACACAATTATTTTGCTAACTTGCCCATTCGCTAGTTTGGGCAACTAAAGTAAACCTGTCAAGATCAGGCGCCACCTCCTGATCCTTCCTTTTGGTCCATGAGGCCAGCTATCACATTCATAGAGCAAGAGTCAGTGCCGGTTCACACCACAGTCAGTGCCGGTTCACACCACAGTCCGGTTGGGCTCTGGAACACACTGAATCGCATTCCGGCTGGCTCCGGGGCGGGAGAGGGCGTACCCCTCCGCACACAGCCACGCCCCCCACCCGTGTGCTACTGGTGTAAGGCCCCTAGCAGAGGACAAGGGGGGAGTATGAAAAAAAAGGAGATGCAGGTCAATGTATATGGAGTGAACGAGCCCTTATAGAACCTTTAAAAAGTTAACCCTTGCAGTGGGGCTTTCTCCAGCGGCCTCCATTCAGAAGATATACTCGCCTGATCTTCAGTCCTGCACCGGTTGGCACTCACCTCTCTCCCCCTTCCACTCCAGCTGCGTTATGTCCCTCAGCATTCCCACGTCTCTTGCAGGTGAATGGAATGCCGGGCTTAGACCGCCGGAGCCCGAGGGAGAAGAGGCTGCGGGGACCTGTCTCGCTCGCCATCTTGAAGAGATCTGGTCCACCCCACCATATGATCCCCTCCATAACCTGCTGTCTCTGCCAGTAGAGGCTGGTGGATGGAAGGTGAAGAGCAGAGGGGATCGGAGGGCACACAGCACATAGCGGGTTGTGGGGTCACAAGGGATTTAAACACGCCCCAGTATCAAAATGTGTAAATGTAATTGCAGACCTCAGATGCAGACAGGACAGATGTATCTACTAACTGCAGTGGCCTAGCTAGGCTTTGAGCAGAGTAGGCAGCAGCAGCCACCTTGAGCACTTCAGCAAGAGGAGGGGGCAAAAAGGGCAGGAAGTACAACCTATGCTGCTAAGGTAACGGATAGGGGGGCGCACTTAATGTTTGTACCCAATCGTAGCAAAGTGACAGGTTGACTTGATAGCATGCCCCCGTTCTACTTATACTTCCCTTTCCCGTGCTCTCCTTTTTACCTGCAGGAGACCAGTGAAATACAGATGTGGGGAAAATGTGACCCCCTCCTCTCCGCTCAAGACCCAGCATTGGGCCCCTAAGTGGTCAATCACCAGGCCCCGACAGGGCCCTATATAAGCTTCAGCCAGGGCCACCTGGAACACAGCCTTTGCCACTTGGCTCCGGCAGCTGAACAGGCACTGGGGGAAGACAAGAAGTTAACTCAATAGACCACCCTAGTGGTGGATGGACTTATCCACCGCTCAGGTTGTCTATTGAGTTAACCTGGCAAAATACAGGTTATGGCAAAGGGGATGTATCTGTTATTTATCATAGCCAGGAATAAAAAATAAAAAAAACAATTGGTAGGTAAAAATTAAATAATTTATATTTTGAATCTTTTTTTTTTAACTCAGCATTTGCAGCACTAAGCTTTCTACATGATCCCCCATCTATTTACAGCCTGGTAAAAATAAATAAAAAAATAGCCTGTTAACAGACCTCAGTAGCTCAAGCCATTGACCTGCAGTTGAATGACTCAGAGCAGCGACTTCTCCGTTCTCAGTTTCAATGAGACAAAGACAGCCTCAAAGCAGGCTGATGCTACTGTTACCCCTTAGATAACCTCCAATGCTCTGGGAGTCCTTTGTCGTGTACTAAGTGAAACAAAGACGATGTACGTATAAAAAAAGATTTTTAAAAATGAACACATTAAAAATTAAAATAAACATGAGCTGAAAAAAAAAAAAAAATCATAGTCTGCCTTTAACTGCCTCCGGGCCGGCCGTAGTAAAAAAACGGCCGGCCAGGAGCTCTCTAGATCTGAGCGGGCATCTCTAGACGTCCGCTCAGGCGCGCCGCCGGGCGCGCACGAGCGGGAAATGGCCGCAATTTAAAAACGGCAGCAATGCCCGTTAATATACAGGGGGCGGATACAGCCGGCGGATCGCTTGTATTTAGCGACGATCGGTGCCCCCCCCTCCCTCTGCTGTCCCCCCCGCCATTGTCC